TAGTTGATTTGTACCCCCGAAGGTTCCTGATGGAAGAGGGGGTTGATAAGCCTCTATCTGAGGTTTTGCGCAATGTTTTCATGATATGTCCGAGGACGCTTGGCTCTGAATTTACCTAGCATTGAGCCATAGGTCCCATGTGTGGGCCTATGTATAAGACACTCACACTGCGTTTGCCTCAAGGGTACATCTGAGCGTGCTTGGGTTGAGAAGAAGCCTGATACTTACTCGACGAGAATAATTTTGGCGGCATCCCCTATCGCCCGCAAGCTCTCATCCTTGATCTATCGATCCGTCTTGATGTCAACCCCCCCTCGCTGGCGAGCTCCCATCCAGAGCGCTGCCGCTGCCCACTGAGCCCGAGTGAGGTGACCGTCTCTAATGAGGTCCGATCCCACGCCATTAATGCTAACTGCATAGGATCTGATAGGTAGGTGCGTCTGATCCAGGCCAAGACAGGCGACCATTGAGCACCTCCGTCGCCGGCAAACATTGATCCGTAGCCAGTCACTGTTACGCTAATGCATAACATAAACGTATGATGTTTGCATCCGCCAATTAAATAACTCTCCGCCTCTCCAGTTATCCGAGGAATACAGTAATGGGAACCCGAAGATATGACAAGAAGAAGTATGTTTAGGAATTCCCACTCCACTCGTGCGAATATCCATTGGGTTCGGCTGAACCTTAGATTGGAAGTATCCGGAAAAGGATGGAGCCTTGCATCAGTCCGAGAACTAAGGTTCCCACTCCACAATCCAAGAAGGGATTGTTCCGCGAAGAGGATATGCTGCAAGGAGATCATTCCAAGAATAGTAGAAGAACAGCGCAAGGAGAGGGCGGACAGATACAGTAGATACTAATAATAACTCCTCACGCATGTATATAAGAAGGAGGGCTGCTCAGAGGGATTTCCCCCAAGCAGCCTCTTGTATTCTCCCCCCGTCGCAATCATAGCTCTTCCACTGACTCTCACCTTGACTGATCTACTCGCCTTGAGTAGTGACTCCTCATCCAATACTGCTCCTATCATCCGAGTGATCTCCGCCGACCCCATTGCCGACGACCTCATATTCCATTTCACTATTCAGCTACAGTCTTCGCCCTTCATCCACCATATCTTCTTGTCAGCCAGTGAGCCAATCACCCTACTGTTACAGTCACCCGCGCAGCCAGATCCACGGCGGCAACGCGTGAGCTCAAACTGACCGTCTCCAGCAACATCCGATCCACGGCGATAACACCTGTGAGCCCAAGCTGACCATCGCCAGCAACGTCCGATCTGGGTCATGCAGTAAATCACTTGCTCTCATCTAAAACCTGCCAAGGAGCAAGGTGGTCCAA